ATTGATTTTTAACTCAAAGATTAGGATCGAATGTTCAATAGAGAATGAAGAGCAGGTGTAAGTTTGAACACCGCTAGTAACTAAGAAGTTTGAAAAATTTGACAATCGTTTGGAAAATCAAAAGTTAAATATCGTACATTTTAGATTACCACAAAGGAAGTAAGTTAAGACTCGAATGTTGTGACTAGTAATTTTGTCATAAACTCTAGATCTGCTCACATCTTATTTGATTTCAATGCTCAGATTCTTTCATGCCTTATAAATTCACACATTCTTTTCAAATTATTTGTTACGCAATTGTCCAATCATTTCATAAAAATGACATAGGAAGTATATCATTACTTGCTGATTAAATCTATAAAGATAGTACCATAGGAATTGAAAGTTATAATCTTCTTGCTAACCTAATTCATATCTCCTTGCCCAACTTTGATATTATTCTTGGCATAGATTGGTTATCAAAGAACCACGCAGAACTCTTGTGCTATGAAAAGATACTCCAATAGAGAAATACGCGTAAGTATACTTGGACGGAATTGTGGCGAGACATGGTGCGCCCTAAGCTATCAATTGCGCGCTACAGCGGTGCTATAGCGGCGCTATAGCGTTTTGCGGAGGTCAGGAACCGCTATTTTCAACTTAGCATTTTCATTTCGCGGTATCGCTATTAGCGGCGCTATTCACCGCTATTTACCGCTATTTCAATAACCGCTATAGCGGCGCTATGGGCGCTATTCCATTTTCGTTCACATTTTGGGTCATTTGGTTACTTTGTCAATGAAATACTAGTTTTAATGATCTCACTACACTTTCATTTTAAAATGCCCAAACAACTAACATAACTAAAAGCATTCAAAGCAACTACGTCTACTGACAACTCTCTTTTTCATCTCTTTCTGTACTCACGACAACTTGAACTACTATGCTCGAACTCCATTAATGCTTTTTGTAAATCGAACCACACCTATGAGGCTACGACTTGGGACTTAACTCTTTATATCAACCATGAACTACTAATACGATATTGAACACGAGCAATACAATTAAACTCTATTTGACACTTTGACACTGCCTAGTTTCCATATTACCATAATAGAATATTATGTTATGTTTTTATATGACTTTTTGGGTTTATGATATTAATTCTATATACACTTATAGTATTAATACTCAAATATATATAACTTCTATATAAATATAATATAAAATTATAAATTATACGTAATATTAAAAAACTGCTATATCACAGCTATACCACCGCGATAACTGCGATCTCAAATAGCGGCATGTGACCGCTATTGAAATTTTGACCGCGATAACTGCATAGGGTGCGCCACTAAAGATTATTTTTGATTGTGATACTCGTTTCACTTCTCACTTTTGATCGAGAATGAAGCATGAATTAGGATCTCGAGTTGCTCTTAGTACAACTTATCATCCTCAGATAAATGGTCAGACGAAGAGAGCAATCCAAATAGTAGAAGATATATTGAAGGTATATGAAGTACTGTATGAGCGTAAGTGTTATACTCAAATATGTTGGCGTAACATAAGACATAAAATCTTGGGAGGCTCTGAAATGATTCAAGACATCATTGATAAGATACAAATTGTCCAAGAAAGAATGAAAGCGGCCCAGGATCGACATAGGTCCTATGCAGAAAAGAGAAGATGACTCGAAGAATTCCGGGTGGATGATTTAGTAATACTGAAGGTATTTCAAAGAAAGGCGTTATGCGACTTTGGAAGAAAGAACGATTGGTAACCAAGCATACTGCTTGGAATTGCTTGAAGATTTGACAGATATCCATGAAGTATTTCATATAAGCTATCAGCACAAATGCTTGAGCATCTATGATGAGACAGTTCTAATATACGAGGTGAAACTGGATAATGAAATAAGAATGAGATAAGAACGAAATATCATCATTTGTTTAATCGTTGTGATTTCGGGGACGAAATCCTCAAAAGGAGGAGGTATTTGTAACATACACATTCTGAAATTGTGTATTGTTATTATTAAAAGTGAATAAAATTGAGTGTTGAGTTCTAACAGATAGTTTTTACTACAAATGAAGTAAAACAATGTTTAGAAACACTCATAAAATATTGGAAGTCTTATGAGATTCCAATTAACAGTCAAATAATGAAAATTTAGTGAAAATATAAAATTTGAAATAGGTAAAATTTTATTATTGAAAATTGTAGATAATCTCGTTAGAAACATTTAGGCGAAAACCTCGTCGAAATCCGAGTTATAACGAAGAAGTTATGACCAATCGAAGATCCGTGACAAAACCGACACGACACCGAATGATGTAAAAAGTGAGTTTTTTACTAACTACTTTTTAGCCTTAGTAACGTAAATTAAAGTCGTAGTGTTCATTAAACCGAGAAGTTCGATAAAAAGAACGCCAAAATCTGACTTCGTATGAGGAAGTTATGATTTTTCGAAGTTTCAACTTAGCAGTAGATAGCTAAAAACTCAAATTTTAGATCGAGTGATTTTTAGCTGACACAACCAAAACAAGAATTGAAGGTCTCGTCATTTTTAGTACAACGGTAAAAAGTCTGACGAAAACAGATGTTGGATGAAGAAGTTATGAATTTTTAACGGATTTTCCTGTCCCAGTCTGTTAAAAATTAAAATCAAAATTAGCCGACGAAGTCTAAACAAAAGTTGTAGAGCATAATTTTAGCTATGCGTGTATATAAAGAAAGTCAAAAACGGAGCTTGTATGCGAAAGGTACGGATTTTAGAAGAATTGGGTGCAATTTTCGAGAAATTAAGGATAAGACCCGGAATATTCGTGTGAACAGTACCGGCCACGTCACCCTTATCCATCCGAGTCTGAAGCTGTTGCGTGTTGTGCTTTGATGGGATCGAACTTCGATCAGGAGCCCTTCAGACGCGTGTTTTGGCATCCGAGGAGACGTCTATGACGCCTCGCACCAGGCCTCCACTGAGCTGCTTGCTGCTGAGTCACCCCTCGCTGCCATCTGCCTCTTCCGGATCCGGCCACCTGGCCTTCGCAGCTGCTGACGCCTGGCTCCTTCTCGGCCGACCCTCGCCCTATAAATACAAGGGATGCGAAAATGGTCGGGTAAAATTGGATTTTTGCCAATTTTTACCCCTCTTTCCATATTTTGACTATTTGAACTTTTCCCGAAGCCCCAGTATTATTTTTAAAGCCCAGAATACGTCCCGAAGTGCCCGGAGAGCCCGAGAAATTATTCTTTTCGGTTTGAAGCTCTACTCTCGCAAGGCTTATTTTTCAATATATTTCCCGGTTTTCAACGACGAAAGTTATTTATAAAGCCGATGTGTTGCACAAATTACTATTTTAACCCCGAATATTTTTAAGGTGAGTTCAATATATAGGAACAATTGTATGTTATGTGTTATATGTGCTATGTGCTTCTCAGTGTTATTATTCCGAGTTATTTTTCCGTGTTATTTTTATTCTGCTATTTTGATAGCAAAAGTAATACATTTGACCATGTGATCAGTGAAAAGACTTAGATTCACATTGGTAATGGTACGAAGCCTCTGGCCATGTAGAGCATGTCCTCGTAAGTGAATGACTTATATTTAAATGGCATTAGCAGAAGATTAAACAGGGCGTGAAAACCTGAAATCTACTGAAATGTTAAACAGGGTGTGAAAACCTGAAATCTATTGAAATGTTAAACAGGGCGTGAAAACCTGAAATCTACCGAAAAGCTAATCAGGGCGTGAAAACCTGAAATCTATCATATTGATAATCAGAAATTATATGTCTTCTGTGCCATTTAGGTCAAAGCTTTATTGATGCATATCAAGTATTGAAATTGTTATGTCTCATTGATCGTAAATCTTTGAATCAAATCTTGAGTTGATATTGAAAGCGTGACATATGATATGCATATGCTATTGTTGTTCTTGTTCCCTTTTGCTTCTGTCATATTTGTATAATTGTGTATATATATATATATATATATATATATATATATATATATATATATATATATATATATAAGGCATAAGATTATATTGTATCTATTTATTGAATTCACTAAGCGTTATCGCTTATCCCTCTCAATATTTAACAATTGCAGGTGATGAGTATCCAATATAGTTTTATACTGCTGAAAGATTTAGAATAGTTAATATTATTTCTCTGTATTTTAATGTTCATGTATGTATATGAATAGTAGATTTATGGGTAGACATGAAATGTAATAAAACTTAGTCGGTTTGTATCCAATCTTTTGTAATCACTTTATCAATATAAAATATTGTTTTATAAATATGCATGTAACATGTTTTGAGAAAGTAACTTAAGAAATTTTTTGAAATAGTATGAAAGTTTGGGTTTTTCATAAATACCAAAGTTGGGATCTTTCATGTGTCAAAATTATCTTTATATATATATATATATATATATATATATATATATATATATATATATATATATATATATATAGAGAGAGAGAGAGAGAGAGAGAGAGAGAGAGTCAAGATCAAATAAGAAGAAAATTTTTGGTAGGAAGGTAAGAAGTTTTTTCTACATATTTTTTTCGCGAACAAATAAAATGAATCAATAGATGATTCATTTTTAAGATGATTCACGAGAAAAAATTCTTAAAAAAACATCTCGATGATTCATTTATACAATGATTTTGTTGTTATTCACTAAAATTGTCATAAAAATCAATTTTTTCTTAATTTACTTAAAAATGAATCATAAAGATGTTTTTTTGGAAATTTTTTCTTGTGAATCATTTTACAAATGAATCATCTAGTGATTCATTTATTTTGTTCGTCAAAAAAATATATAGAAAAAAAAACTTCTTACCTTCCTACCAAAAATTTTTTTTACCGGATATATATATATATATATATATATATATATATATATATATATATATATATATATATATATATATATATATATATATATATATATTAAAAGCTATAAAAGAACAAAATGGATAGTTTCTTCATTTTACATGTTTTACATTAAGAAATGTAGTAATTATTTTATAAATTCTTTTAATCATTCGGTATCGGAACTTCACTTCGAGTGCCTTCTGTCAGTATCATAGATGTATTTCGACCACCAGCGGCGACACTGATTCCTGAAATTCCATTTGCTAAAGATAAAATGCAAGTCAACGCAGGAGCGCTGAAGCAAAGCCACCGAGTCACAAAACCATACCACTTCCATTTCTGGAAGGTATAACAATTTCTGCGAAACTATTTTGTAATTTTGTAGAAACCGGATGTGAAGCAAAAGCAATATCAAACAACAATCTGTATCTAAGTATGTTTAATTATAAAAAAAGAAGAAGCTAAAATGCTTTCACACCATGATCAGTCATGTGCATATATGTGATATAGGAAATACGTTCCCTACAAATCCTAATTCATATCTGAATCCATCTTCTTTCAATTCCTTGATTAATGCTATGGATGTTGACTTCTCATCATTCTTCTTTCCACAACAGTGCCATCAGTTCACAATTTCGGAGATTAACTTAGCAACCCGTAACTTCAACGAGTCATTGATAATCGGTCATGGGGGGTTTGGCATGGTTTACAAAGGAACCATCACTAATGGGTCAACTCATTTGGTTGTGGCCATTAAGCGCATGGATTCAACCTCTAATCAAGGAGCAGCAGAGTTCTGGAATGAAGTTCAGATGCTTTCTAAATTAAGACACTGCCACTTAGTGTCTTTAATCGGTTATTGCAATCATGGTGAAGAGATGATCCTTGTTTACGAGTATATCCCCCATGGAACCCTTGAAGATCATCTTCACAAACTTCAAACTCCGTTATCCTGGGTTCGACGACTCAAAATATGCATCGGGGTTGCTCGTGGCTTAGATTATCTTCACACTGGCACAGGTATTACGCATGGTGTTATACATCGCGATGTGAAAACTTCAAACATATTGTTAGATGATAATTGGGCTGCGAAGATTTCCGATTTTGGATTGTCGAAACTAGCTCCTATAAGTCAACCTTTGACTTATGTCAACACTTTTGTGAAAGACACTTTTGGATACCTAGATCCAGACTATTACGCAACTGGTAGGTTGACAAGAAAGTCAGATGTGTATGCGTTTGGGGTAGTATTACTTGAAGTCCTGAGTGGAAAACGAGCAGTGGATACAAGTCTTGATGATGAGCATTGGGGATTAGTAAATTGGGTTCAAGAATCTATGAAAGAAGGTAGGTTAAAGCAAATTGTTGATTATAGTATAAGAGTGGGAGTGATGCCTAAATGTTTGAAGCGGTTTGCACATCTTGCAAATCTGTGTGTGCATAATAATCCAAAGCAACGGCCTACAATGGCTGAGGTTGTGGCATGCCTTGAGTCTATACTAGTCTTACATGAGAAAGTCACAGCCATGTCGATGACAAGTTTTTGGGGTAGAAGGTTAAACTCTTTGGAGTTATACTTTGATACTGTTGGAGGTGAAAATAGAATCTTACGAAGGTTTGAGTTTGAAACTATTAATGTTGCAACTGAGAATTTCGCTAAGGATAATAGAATGTTACGATGTAGCTTGGCTCCATTCATGTACAAGGTATCTTATATAATTACATTGTTTTTGGGTTTCGAAAGGATGCTTAAAGCTGAAACTTGGTTAATTTTTCTTCTCAGGGAAAGTTACAAAACGGACGAGGAATATCAATTGCTAGAATAGGTTGTCAAGATTATAAAAATGAAGTGTCATTAATGGTAAAACTTCAGCATGAGAATTTGCTTCCATTGATTGGGTATTCCATTGAAGGAAAACAAGTATTCCTTGTCTATGACTTTGCATTCTGTTCCAATTTACATCTCTCGATAATTGGTATGACTTCTTTTTTTAAAATATGGATTTCATATTATATGTAAAGTTTAAGCTGAAATGAAAGATTAAACTTGGCTAACATTTTTCTCGATGATTTGTCTTTGTAGGACTTTTGGACTGGAATAAGCGCAAGAATGTAATATTGGGTGTTGCTAGGGGACTTCTTTACCTTCACCAGCATGATGTAATACATGCTAATGTTATACCTGGAAACATTCTTTTAGATGAAAGTTTCCACCCCAAACTGTCGAATCTTGAATTCTCAAGGTGTTTAACAACAATAAACGAGGCTGTTTTTGTCGAAATGGGTGCAATGTGGGAGACCTTGTAAGTACACAACCATTCATTTAGAAACTGTCAATCTTCGGGAATTAATGAACCCTTCAGATGTTCTTGAATTTTCTAAAGTTAGATGATTCAAAATCATTAGTGTTTACACCTCACATGTCACGGTTTCTTGAATTTTCAGATGTTCTTGAATTATTCCCTTAATAGTGATAACCATTGTAAAATCTTGTACCCCATTACCAATTCGACATTTTTGATTGATAAAGATGTTGTTATAGGTATTAGTAAGCAAGAAGGTGATCTCATACGAATAGGTATAAAAATTGAGTTCATTTAGGAAGAGTCTTTACAATTTAAGCGACATACCTTCAACTTTGTAGGGTCTAAATTATCTTTCATGGAAAATTGCATTTGATATAGAACATCTCCAGATACGTGTGTGTTTGTTTTCTCTTTTTCCTTCACAAAATTTGAATGATTTGTAGTAATGGTCGAAGCTAATAATATCTGCATATGTGACAGGGGAATATATCGCACCAGAATTGCATCAGGTTAATCGTCTGTCAGCTAAGGCTGATGTGTATAGTTTTGGTGTCTTGCTTTTGGAAATCACAATTGGGTGTCGTATGTACAACTGCTTAAAACGAAATGTAAGTATTACTATCGACGACCAGATTCTATGATGTTAGAATTGTGCATCTATAATATCATTCATACCCTATATATTAAAAAAAAACGTATATTGCCTTTCAATGTGATTAGGGATTTCTGATTTCTGACAAATTAAAGGTTTAAATCATGGAAAAGCATTTTGGTTATTGTTTTTCCTTTTACGTTTTGTATAATGTCTTAATTTTGTGGCGTGAGAGAGAAATGTTATATGATGGTGTTACGTTTTTGAGAAATTCAAACGGACTACATGTAATAAGTTAAGTATAAAGGTATGTGACATTGTTGTAGGTTTGGAAAAATTGGATGGAAGGAACATCTTCAAATATACTTGATCCTAGAATTCATGGCAATCCAAGTTCCATAACAAGATTCATCCACATCGGGTTGCTGTGTGTTCAAGAAGATGCAGATAATAGACCAACAATGGAAGAAGTTGTTGGCATGCTGACTAACAGTTCATCCCTCACCTTCCCTATACCAAAGGAGTATGTGCCACCATGGATGACAGCAAATGATTAAAGGTTATACATATTATATAAATGTCTTGTGACTATGATTCTAGGTAGTATGTTGAAAATAACTGATACCCGATTATCCGATCCGGCCCGTTTTGAATTCGGGTAGATTGGGTCGGGTAAATCGGGTATTGAGTTTGGAAATTCGGGTAATCATGTAATCAGATATTTAGATAGGTCGGGTAGTTGGTAGGTTTAAAAAAATTTGGGTATACCCGAATACACGATTAAAAATATGTTCCTAAAAAAGTTAATATTGTAACATTGAGAATATTAATGAATCGTATGCCCATGATAGTCAACTTGAAGAAGAAAGACACTGATCATCATAATATGTTAATTTTGGATGATGCCGATCATGTATTCATCTCTTAAGAGATGACGTCCTAAATTGGCTACAAATCAATGAGTGGCCTGATGTGGTGGTTTCGATTTTGCTTTCGGTTAGGGACGTGTTTGTGTGGTTAGATTGGCTGTAAATTTAAGAATAAAAATGGTCGTACTAAAGCTATAATTTTGACTATATAGTAGACCATTTGGAAATACCGCAATTTCATGGTTTTGATTCGAATAAAATTAGAAGAAACTTTATTATTGATATCATTCTGAATATTTTTTGCTTTTAAATTTCAAAAATTGATTATCAATTGGAGTGTTTTTGTTATAAAACCTTGATCCCGCTTCACCAATTAAACTTTTGTTTCCTCACTTTTCACTAGCTAAAAAGTTAATTGTTTTAAATAATTTATCAATAGTTCAATTGGTTAAATACTATAGGGAATATAAATTAGGGTAGTCATCTTTTTCATTTTATTCATATTTAAGCAACTTTTTTTTACACATTTGACAATTTAATATATATTATTTGAATGTTTTTTGATAATATTTCTCCATTTTAACTAATTATCCAATTGTCATTAAAATACAAAATAATTTAGACACACACATTAGTCATAATATAATATCACATAAAAGAAAAAAAGAAAAAGAAAAAAATGGTTATGAAAAATGAAAGTGTTATACAATAATACATAAAATTTGTCTAGATTTGTTAACTATTTATAATAAAATCATAAAAATGCTAAGTGCAAAAGATTATTATTCATAGAAAATAGTGACCCACGACAAATGGTCTGTATGCATAGTTATCAAACTCTTATGAGTCATGAGTTGATTCATACGAGTCGAGTCATTTTAAACCTTAAAAGTGGCGAATCGAAATCAGGTGTGACTCATTGTTTGACTCGAGACTTAATGTTATGTAGCTTCCTAAGCGATGTGCAGGTTTGTGAATGAGATTTGAAGAACCTAGAACATTTGGTGTAAGTGTTTTAGATTGCTGTTATGTATTAAAGGGTATTTTGGACCTTGTGAAAATATTTGAGTTAAAGGATGCGATTAAATGCCGTTTTGTGTATTTCTTAGATGTTGAAGTGTAACGACCCGTTCCCGGTATGTTAATTCATTAGTAATTGTTTTAAGTTTTGCAAGAGGGACTCGGCGAGTTCATAGCCTGACTCGCCGAGTAGGGTCGCGACTTCGAGCACGCGTGAGCTGGGGACTCGGCGAGTCCATATCCCGGACTCGGCGAGTCCATCCGTCTGGGTGAAACCCTAAATCCCCGGATTGCCCACTATTTAAGTCACCTTATAGCCCCATTCTTGCCTCCCTCACCCTGAGAACACTGTGAGAAAAACCCTAATCCACCCTTGAGTGAACTAAGTGTTCTTGTGCCATTTTGTGAAGGCTTGAAGAAGGAGAAGAAGAAAGGAGCAAGGAGAAGAGGAGTAGTGCAAAGATCCAAGGGCAAATCAGAGTTCTTTGAGGTATTTTTTGGATTTCCCTCTTGTTTTATGCTTTGGGACTCTTCTAGATCGAGTGGATGCTTTTCCCAAGCTTTTTGATTGTGTGAATGACCTATTAGGTCGAGATGTCCAGAGATTTATTCATTTAGTAGTTCCATAGTCCAGATCTATTGCCTTTATGAGGATACTTTGCATATTAACCCTAGATCTATCCCTTTTATGCACCTTTTAGCCTTATTTCCCTTATTCATGTGGTTGTACACGTAAAGTTGGAAACTTTACGTGGTAAATCGGCTTACTGGACTCAAATCTATCAATTGTATGTGTTGGATTCAAGCAAAATCGAGTGAAAAACAATTGCATGGCGGCAACTCGGCGAGTCGGGAAGAACGACTCGGCGAGTCGAGTCGCGAGTCCCCGATTCCGTCCTTTTTAGCAGTGTCGAGTGGAACCAGTGAGTTAGAGGGTGGACTCAGCGAGTTGAGGGTAGACTCCGTAATAGAGGGACTCGGCGAGTTGTTCATACAACTCAACGAGTCCAAGGCAATCTTCTTAAGATCAAGAACAACTCGTCGAGTATGTTCATAAGGCTCGGCGAGTCGGATGAAGATTGTCTGAGTTCTTGGATCAAGAGGGTACTCGTCGAGTCGATGCCATACTCGACGAGTAGCAGCGAGTAGGATTGAAAAGTGAGAGTAGGACTCGGCGAGTTGGGTGACCCAACTCGGCAAGTCAGTCCAAATGAGAGTGACTTTGACCAAGGGTAAAAGAGTCATTTTACCCAAGTGCAGTGTTTAGTATTTGATTGAGTGTGCTTATGGACTTGTAGCTGGGGGGATACAGGAGCAGCAGCCGTTAGCTTCCAGAGCCACACACTCAGCAGCCAGTTTACGAGGTGAGTTTCCTTCCAGTAGGAACGGGTCTAAGGCCACAATGCCGGCCCGTTCAGTTAGCAGTAGTTTCCGGACTTAGGGCCGATGCAGTAGCTAGCATGTTTGATGCCTTCGTGGCTCAGACAGGATTTGTGTGCTATGTTTTATGTGTTAAGTGTTATGTGTTCCGGGCTACGGCCCGATGTAGTATGCAGTATATGTGTTCATGCTAGATGATGTGTTATGCTATGCCATGTTCAGTCAGTCAGTTCCGGACTTCGGTCCGATGCAGGGGACAAGGTCCCAGTCGGTTCCGGACTTCGGTCCGATGCAGTTAGTTCCGGACTTCGGTCCGATGCAGTTACTTCCGGACTTCGGTCCGATGCAGGGGACAAGGTCCCAGTCAGTTCCGGACTTCGGTCCGATGCAGTTTCCAGGCTTCGGCCCGATGCAGTGGGCTAGGCCCAATATGTGTTTCTATGTTATTGTATGGTATGTGGTAGTTTGGGGGATCTCACTAAGCTTCGTGCTTACAGTTTCAGTTTTGGTTTCAGGTACTTCCGCAAGCAAAGGGAAGAGCTCGGGGTGATAGCATCGCACACACTACAGCTTAGCTTTTATCCTGGGGATTGTTTTAGTTGTTTTGATTTGATATAGTATGATACAGTTTTCCGCACAGTATTTTTATTATGATTGGGATATATCGCGTATGGTCTTATTATATAACACTCTGATTATGGTTTTGATTATATCAAAAAACGAAATTTTTGGGTCGTATTTTTGGGTCGTTTCAAGTTGGTATCAGAGCCCTGGTTTGAGGGATTCGGATACACTTCCGGGTGTATCTGAACTCAAACTAAGGGAAATAAAAGATTTTATTAAAATAAAAACGTTTTACAAAAAGAATTTTGAAAGCACTTAGAAAGAAAGAAATTGTTTTTTAAAACAAGATAGAGGTATGTGCATGCGGTCAGCCGAGCTCAAGTAAGTACTCCCAAATTACCCATACAAGTTATTTGTTCAGTTTCAGTTTCAGCAGAACAGCATGCTAGTATAGGACTAAGGATCTAGGAGAATGTAGCACCTGGTTTCCGGTATGTGGATTTATTTAAGCATTGCCCTATTTTAGCCTTGGACACGGCGAGTCATAAGGTCCGACTCGCCAAGTAGGGACGAGACTCAGGACACGTTTTAAGTGGGCGACTCAGCGAGTCCATATCCTAGACTCGGCGAGTCACCGGTGCTGGATGAAACCCTAAGTTTCAAGGGTTTGCACCCTATTTAAACCCTCATTCCGCCTCAACTTGTCCCCATTCACCCCCAGAACTTCCCCATCATCGTTTTTCCTTGTCTCCTTGAGAGATTGAGGTGTTCTTGGTGTGTTCTTGAAGGTTTTGAGGAGAAAGAGGAGTAGATCAAGAAGAGGAGAAGGAGATCAGCCATCTTTGTGTCATTTCAACATTTTCCTTGAGGTATATCTCGTTTTCCCCTGTTTCTATGCTTAGGATGTCATTTGGGACACTCTTGAGCAATTCTTCAAGCTTGTTTGTGCTTAATGACTCGTAATAAGTGGATTAACCTTTAGATCTAGGCAAGATTGAGCTCCAGGAGCTCAGATCTGTTAGCTTTAGGGCCCCATGTGGCTTGTTCATCCTAGATCTACCCTTTTGAGGCATTTTGCACCCTAAAATCCACATTAGTGAGTATCCACACGTAAAGTTGGAAACTTTACGTGTGATTTGTGTCCTAGTAGTCCAGATCTATGAATTTCATGAACTGAAATCGAGTAAATCGATGTATTTGGTGGATGCATGGCGACGACTCGGCGAGTCGTATAGGTGACTCGGCGAGTCTGGTCGCGAGTCACCGATTTGGTCCCTTCATGATGTGTCGAGTCAAAGCCGTGAGTCACAGGGGGTGACTCGGTGAGTTGGGAGCTGAACTCACCCATGTTAGGACTCGGCGAGTCAATGCCCTGACTCGGCGAGTCCAAGGCAATCTTCATAGATCAAGAACAGACTCGGCGAGTCTTAGCATAAAGTGTTCTTAGGATGAAGATGAACTCGACGAGTTGTTCATACAACTCGGCGAGTAGGATGAAGGAGTTGAATGTCAGTTGGGGAAGGTGAACTCGTCGAGTCATAGCCCGACTCGACGAGTAGAACCAGGGACCCAGGACAATGGTTTGCTAGGGACTCGGCGAGTGGAGATCCACTCGGCGAGTCGGGTCAACTGAAAGTTGACTCTAGCTTTGGCTTAGAGCTAGACCGGGGGGTAAAATGGTCATTTTACCTAAAGGACAGTTAGCAGTGTTTGATTGAGTATGTTGTGGGAATTGCAGCCGGAGGACTCCCGGAGCAGCAGCAGTCAGTTAGTTCCCGATCAGTTCAGCAGCTACTTTGAGGTGAGTTACCTTCCAGTAGTGGTGGGTCTAAGGCCACAATGCCGGCCCACCAGTAGGAGACGTATGATAGATGATTGTCTTTGTGATATCATCTAGGTTTGCTATTACCTGTTATGTTACATGCTATCATGATACGCTATATGCAGTAGTAGTAGAGTTCGGTTGTTAGGACCGCTGGGTCGTCAGACACCCCAGAATTATCTGACTGTATGTGATGGTATGCTTGTATGTTGGTCTGTTATGCTATGCGATAGAGGTAGCGGGAGGGGACCAGTCCCCGAGGATCGTTTGTTAGGACCGATGGGTAGTCAGCACCCCAGAATGGCTTGACATGGGTAGTCAGCACCCCAGAATGGCTTGACACGGG